ACTTCCATACAAACAAGAGCATTCCATTCACAAAATACTGAATACTACGCATGTATTGCCAAAAAATCAGTCCACGCACCACATGCTTGCCAGTTAAAAATGACTGCAATGGTACACACTGCAATTGTCTAATAATAAACAATTTATTATAGTTACGCCTGTAAACCATTTTTTGTGTTTCTTCTATGCGATATAGAAAACGTAAGTACTCTTAGGGTGACATCAACATTTCACAAATATATAAATCACATGGGCATTTTCCTTTCCTCGGATATAATGAAAAAAGAATACTAAGGATCCTTATCATTTATCTTTAAAAATGATCGAAAATGATTTTAGGATACAACCTGTGAATATAATCAGGCTGACATGGCCTTTGGCCTCTGCCTATCGCGATAAGGAACATGTTTTTATTAACTGTATTGTACCTGCACCAAGTAAGCATAACTGAAGTTGAAAACTGATTCATGGTGAAGCAAACTAAGATCTTGGATTGTCTATTACTCTCTCTCTCTCTCTCTCTCTCTCTCTCTCTCTCTCTCTCTCTCTCTCTCTCTCTCTCTCTCTCTCTCTCTCTCTCTCTCTCTCTCTCTCTCTCTCTCTCTCTCTCTCTCTTCTATCACCTATATCCCCCCTCTCTCTATATCTATCTATCTATTTATCTGGGAGCGGCGAGGCAAAAGGGGGCGGCAGGGGAGCGACAAGATGGTATAAGGAGCAGTTAACAAACAGATTTCAGCATTTTTTTTTTTTTTTTTTTTTTTTTTTTTTGCCTGAAATACCAGACAGTGATCAATCCAATTCTTAAATGTCATCAGTTAGGAGACACAGGAGTGGCAGAACTGATTTTTGGTTGCGATAAAAAAAATGTGTCTTACAAGGTCAAGATGTACTTAATAGCTTTCCCATTATTTTTAGTAGAAAGGGGCTTCAGTGCAGACGCCTTTCAAGAACAGAAAACCTGAAAATTACTGAAAGTGTGGATTTTCGTAGTGTGTTACAGGCTGATGTTGATAATGATGGCGATGATCATCATCGTCGTCGTCGTCATCATCATCATCATCATCATCTCATTATCATCATATCATCATCATCATCTCATTATCATCATATCATCATCATCTCATTATCATCATCATCATCATCTCATCATCATTCATCATCATCATCATCATCATCTCATCATCATCATCTCATCATCATCATCATCATATCATCATCATCGTCATAAAGGTGGTGATGATTATTAAAATAATGATAACAAAAACAAAGCAACCAATGGTAATTGTAAGCACTGCAATACTTTCTTATAATGATCACAGAGCTACTTAGTCAAATGATATGGACCAATTACCTATCTAATAATACTTCGACCATTCTGGTGATATTTGCTTAACTCTCACTGTTCATTTTTAGAAAAAGTGTTTTCGTTTAATGCCACCCGTAATAAACACACTCGTGGCGGAATGGATAACGAAACACACTTACATTCCACCCCTTTAATAATATAATGATGTGTTGATTCAATATTCAATACACTGATACAGAGACAAACTATTGCTGAGCCTGCGAGAGAGGCCAACTATCCGCTGGCTCTCGTGCATCCTATATAAGGCAGTTTTTCATCCTCTATTACAAAGATAATATGTCATTTAGAATATATGTATACTAGTAATACTAAGCCATAAGATAAGTATATGATTATGATACCATATATATACCTAAGGATTACAAAATGTTTAACAACTCCTAGCTACCATAACCGTGGCGACAATGTTGTAAATCACGGACAACCTATTTGATTGTTATTGGAACTGTTAAGTGTCTGGTTTTGAGTCCTTATGACATTCCAAGCTCGCGATAATATGTCCGTAGACCTGGGACGTTGGTAGTAAGACTATTTTGTTTGCCCGCCAGGCTACAGATATAATTATTGCCAATATGGTCCCTATTGATGATACGGAAGCAAGCCATGATGAATCTTTTGATACCGTGATTACCCTAAAGACTTGAGAAATCACTGCATGTTTGTATTTCATGTGATAATTTCTCCTGTGATTTAATAACCTTGTTTTGTCATTGGATAATTTTGATTGTGCATTTATCACCGATGGTATTTTATTGCTGAATTTTTGGGTCTGTAGACTCGTGGTAGTACCATAATAAGAATGTGGTAATAAAGTTTTTATAAGTATATTTCAGACATTCACATCTACTTCTGATACCAAGGACATCACCGAGATATATATAAAAAAAAATGTTCGCTGGAATTTTAATGTATCGAATATTCGAAGAGTGCAAGATGCTGATATGGAGGAAATAATCGTCTCTGAACCGAGCACGAAGTGAAAAAATATAAGACTTCAGTTCCATGTACTTGAAGAGATGACTTGTATCCGCAGGTTAGTTAACCGAAAGTGTTAGGAAGTACGGAGTAAATAATCGTCTCTGAACCGAGCATGAAGTAAAAAAAAAAAAAAAAAAAAAAAAAAAAAAAAAA